TGTGTGTGGAAAACCCTCCTCTGCTCTCCCCAAGTGCATTTTCCTCCTCATCAGAATGGGGTGTGGGGGGGTGACCCCATCTCGTCGCATCCTAACCTCATCTCCTTGTGTGCCATCATACAGTTCAGCTCATCTTCATCCCATTTCACCTTTGTCTGACACCATCTCAAGTCTCATTGCATCTCCTCGCATCTCATCGCATCACATCGCATCGCATCTCTTCGCATCTTATGTCATTGCATCGCATCGCATATCATCGCATCTCTTCGCATCTTACGTCATTGCATCGCACCGCACCTCATCGCATCGCATGCATTCCATTGCATCTCATCGCATCTGTTCTCATCACATCGCATCGCATCTCATCGCATCTTATGTCATTGCATCGCACCGCACCTCATCGCATCGCATGCATTCCATTGCATCTCATCTCATTGCATCTCTTCTCATCTCATCGCTTCACATCGGATTGCATCTCTTCGCATCTTATGTCATTGCATCGCATCGCACCTCATTGCATCGCATCACATCGCATCTCCTCACATCGCATCTCATCGCATCACATCCCATCGCATCCCATTGCATCGCGTCATAGCCCATGGCATCTCATTGTGTCTCATCTCATCGTGTCTCATCTCATCCCATCTCATCTCATTACATTGCATTGCATTCCATTGCATCTCATCGCATCTCATCGCATCGCATCACATCCCATTGCATCTCATCGCATCTCATCACATCACATCACATCCCATTGCATCTCATCACATCTCATGTCATTGCATCGCATTGAATCCCGTCGCATCGCATCACATCTCATCGCATCACATTGCATCGCATTGCATCCCATTGCATCTCCTCCCATTGCATCTCATCGCATCTGATCTCATCAATTCTCATGTCATCTCATCGCATCTCATCTCATTGCATCCCGTTGCATCTCCTCGCATCTGATCTCATCAATTTTCATGTCATCTCATCACATTGCATTGCATCGCATTCCAATGCATCTCATCGCATCATATCCCATTGCATCTCATCGCATCACATCCCATTGCATCTCTTCGCATCCCATTGCATCTCATCACATCTGTCGTGGTTTAAACCCTAGCCAGACAGCTTGTTCACTCACTCCCAGTGAGTGGTGCCGGGCTGAGAGCAATCGAGGCCCCCACTCGGGGCTCTCCCCTTCCCCGCTCCCGGAGGAACGGGGTGGAGGATCAAAAGAGTGCAACTCCCATGAGCTGAGACAAGCAACCAATGTACGACACAAATCACCACCGCTACTACCAACGACAACAATGGTAAGAGAAAATAACAAGGGAAGAGAATACGATACCACCGGCCAAGAAACGAGTCCCACCTGGAAACCCGTGTCCTTCTGCGTAACTCCCTGTTACCACCCCCCCCCCCAAGGAATGATGGACTGTGGTATGGAATACCTCTTTGGCTAGCCTGGGTCAGGCGCCCCGTCTCTGCTTCCTCACAGCTTCCCCTCCTCCCTGGCAGAGCATGAGCCTCACAAAGTCCTTGGTCAGGGTAAACATCACTTAGCAACAACCGAAAACATCGGTATCACCAGCACTGTTCCCAGGCTGGAAGTCAAAACACAGCACTGCACCAGCTACCACGAAGGAGAAACATGACTGCTACTGCTGAACCCAGGACAACATTGCATCTCATCTCATTGCATCTGTTGTCATCGCATCACATCCTATTGCATCTCATTGCATCTCGTGTCATTGCATCGCATCGAATCCCGTCGCATCTCATCGCATCACATCACATCACAGAACATCGGTATCACCAGCACTGTTCCCAGGCTGGAAGTCAAAACACAGCACTGCACCAGCTGCCACGAAGGAGAAACATGACTGCTACTGCTGAACCCAGGACAACATCGCATCTCATCTCATCGCATCTCTTGTCATCGCATCACATCCTATTGCATCTCATTGCATCTCATGTCATTGCGTCGCATCGCATCCCATTTCATCTCATCGCACCTAATTAATCGCATCGCGTCTCATCGCGTCACATCTCATCTCGTCACATCACATCTCATCTCGTCACATCGCATCCCTTCCCATCCCATCCCAATGCCTCCCATCCCATCGCATCCCAACCCATCCCAATCCATGTCTCCTCTCTCCTCTCCTCTCCTCTCCTCTCCTCTCCTCTCCTCTCCTCTCCTCTCCTCTCCTCTCCTTTCTCTCCTCTCCTCATTTCACAGCATATGATGAGGATAGGAGAGAGGAGATGAGTATGCTGCAGAATATGATATTGTATCATATAGCGTATTATAGCATCTCATACCATATCAAAGCATAGCATAGCATATCTTATACAGCATATTATGTTTTATCATGTTATATCATGTTACCATATGATATCATTTGATTATATTTAATTTCATTTCATTTCATTTCCATTTCATGTCCGTTTAATGTCATTTTGTTTAATTTCATTTCATCCTCCTCATCCCTTAGCATATCTTGTATTGTATGATGTAACATATTATGTTTTATCATGTTATATCATGTTACATCACATTATAGCATCATATAATTTCATTTCCATTTCATTGCATTTAATTTCTTTTCATCCTCGTCATTTTCTTTCCTCTCTAAAAATATTATCGTGTATCATATCATGTCATATTTTATCATATTTATCATATCATAATCTATCGTATCTGATCATGTCATACCACCCTATCATATCATATATCATATTATAGCATATCATAGAATATCATATCTTATCAAACCATATCATAGCATATCATGCATACTATGCCATACCGTACCATACCATATCATATAATTTGATTATATTTAATTTAATTTAATTTCATTTCCATTTCATGTCCATTTGATGTCATTGTTTTTAATTTCATTTCATCCTCCTCATCTCATAGCATATCTCATATCATATCACGTAACATATTATGTTTTATCGTGTTATATCATGTTACATCATGTTACGCTGTCATATCAGATCATATAATTTAATTTCATTTCCATTTCATTGCATTTGGTTTCATTTCTCCATCTCCTCATTTTCTCTCCAAATATATTGTATCATGTAATACCATATCACATTATATATCATATATCATATATCATGTCATAATCTATCATATTATAACCTATCCTATCATTTTATTTCATTTCATTTCCCTTTCATGTCGTATCATTTTACATTATATCATAATTTAATTTCATATCATTTCCATTCTGTTTCCATCCACATCATGTATTCTCACGCTATATCAAACCATGTTCTGTTATAGCATCATATCAGTTCGCGTCATTTCATCCTCCTTCTCATTTCATCTCGTCTCACCACAACTCCTCTAAACGTGTCTCATCTGTAGCATCCCATTTCATCTCATTCATCTCCTCTCTTCTCTTCCGCTCTCTGAAAATGTATCATTTCATATCTTATTATATCATATGATATAATTTCATTTCCATTTGATGTCATTTCATTTCATCCTTCTCTCCTCTCCTCTCCTCTCCTCTCCTCTCCTCTCCTCTCCTCTCCTCTCCTCTCCTCTCCTCTCCTCTCCTCTCCTCTCCTCTTCTAAATCCCATTCTGTCCCTCCCCTTCCCATCCCATCCCAATCCCACCCCATCCCTTCCTATTTTATTCCATCCCATCCCCCTTGTGAGTGACTGAACTGCAATGAGCCTGGACTGTCCATGCTTTGACTGACTGCTGTGAGGAACTGGACTGGGACTCTTGGCTATTAAATTGGACATGATGAAAGAATCTGTTCATAATAGATTGATTTGTGTTTGGGCCCCACAAGGGTTTCAATGCCTCAGTACTGCTCTTCAAATGAGGTTTCAGCATTACAGATGGGAAACTGATAGGAGATGGGGCTTATGGGATCTACGTGCATGCTGTGAGGCTCCAGGGGGGGAATTATAAGCTGTAAATCAAACCCACGCTTAATTGCAAGCTGTAGATTGGGAGCTCTGTGTTGAGAGCAAGATGGAGCTGGTTCTTCAAGGCAATGAAGTGCAGTCCCTCTCCAGCATCCTTGTAACCCCCTTCAGGCACTGGAAGCTGCTCAGAGGTCTCTTCTCCATCCCAACTCTTCTCAGCCTGGCTCTCAGCAGCTTCCTTCAAGGGGCTTCCATCACCTGCAGCAGCTCTCCTGATGTAGCACCCTCCATGGCCACCACAGACCCATGGGGCCTGATGTCCACCCTACAGCTCTGCCACCACCCACCCACCCCCCGGCCCCACAGCTTCTGTGTCTTCACATTGAGGTCCTGGTTCACCTCAGTCCCAGGCTTCTCCATCATTCCCAACATTCCCACTGCCCCCCAGTAGCCCTGGTACCCTTAAAGCATCCCGTAACCCTTCTGGTACCCAGAAACCCACCCTGCCCCAGCCATCTCCATCCATCCCAGTAGCCGTAAGCCACCCCAAAACTACAGGGTACCCCAAACCCCATCTTTATTGAGCCCCATAAGGAAGGGTCCCCACACCCAGCATGTTGGGGTGCAGGGATGCTGCTTTGGGTGACAGCCCCAGCTCATGGCCCTGCAGCAGGCTCTCCCACAGCCTCAGTCTAGAACCCAGCTGGGTCACCATGGCAATGGGTCAACACGGGGCCCTTTGTGACCTCATTTGTGTCACCCTACTTGAGTGCTTTGGTGAGGGGAACAGACAGTGACAGGACAGAGCAGGAGGAAGGAGCCACTGGGTTGCTTCTGAGCTCAAGCCCTGTTGGTTTGGTCCAAGCTTTCCCCTTCGCTATCCCGATCCCTTTCCTGCATCCTGTGGGATGATGGAGAGAGCCTCCAGATCCCCCCGGCAGGCTTGGGAGAGGGATGAGGCTCGGGAGGAGAGCATCTCTTCATTGGAGCCCTATGAGGAATCCCTGGCTGTGCCATTGAGGACTGGTGAGTGTTGGTGTGGGAGCAGGACAAGGGGTGATGGGTTCAGACTGGAAGAGGGGAAGTTCCACTTGGACAGAAGGAAGTTGTTCCCTATGGAGGAGGTGAGGTGCTGGCACAGGGTGGATGCTCCATCCACGGCCAGGTTGGACACAGCCTTGGTGACATCGGATCCTAGAGCCATAGAAGGGGTTGGGATGGAAAACCCAGTGGGTGATCTGCGGGTCCTTTCCAACCCAACCCATTCTATGATTCCATGACTTTATGACCAGCACCACTTTCCTTGGATGCTGGCAGGGGAGCAGAGCTTCCTCTGCTCTCCAAACCTCTCCTCTTCCTCCATTAGATGACAGCTGGTTACCCGTGTACGCACTGGAGCGGGGCAATGTGAAGCGCATCGAGGCATTTGTCAACACCCCAACCACGGTGAGCACAGCCATTGCGATGCTGATGGGCGCTGTTGGGTGCTGCCTTCAACCCTAGCACTCTGGTACCCCCGTCCCTTCTCACACTCCCTGTTTGTGCCTCCATCCTCCCTGGTTTCCAGTCTGAGCATGAAAAGGTTGCATTCCTTGAGAGCGTCTGCTCCCTGCTGAGCACAGCCAGGATCTGCGGCTTGCAACAGGGCCTGGATGTCTTCTGCCGTAAGAACCAACTCACAGAGACCATCCAGGTGAAGGGACCCCCATGGGGATGCTATGGGGCAAAGGGCTCCAGCACCCAATGAGGGCAGCATTGGTGGACTCCCAGGTCCCTTATCCCCATTGTGCCCCATAGACACTGCTCCAAGAGCAGCCCACGGACCGGCTGCGCACGGAGGTGCGGCATCTCGCCATGGATGCGATAGCGGAACTGAGGTACCACAACTGCGCATCCCTCCTGAGGACCCCACTGCTCCCATCACAAGCATCCAACCGGAGCCTTCTTCCCTGTGCAGCTCAGTGCAGTCAGGGCTTGCGGACCAAGGGAGAGGCCTCTTAGAGACCTGCTTCAGGAGCGTCTTCTTCCTGCCTCCGAAAGAGGAGTTTTCAAGCCTGGATACCTACTACTACGTCCACGTAAGTCGCTCCAGGAGCCCGCAGTTCCCTTTGGAGCACTGGGGCAGCGGGATACCCATGGTTGAAGCCCTGTTGGTACCCAAAGGGCTCTGCTCTGTCCCTGCAGGCACTGCAGTCCATGAATAACATGCTCCGGAGGCTGGTGCTCAACTCTCCTGACCCCAGGGGCGGCGAGGAGCTGCAGAGCATCCTGCAGGTCTGGCCTGCGTGGAGCGGGGTGCATGGGGGCTGCTCCTCACCCATGGGCCCCCCCAGAGCCATGGGCCCCCCCTTTCCTGGGTAACCCAAGGCCCTCCTGGAACACGGGGGCTGCAGGCGGTGGTGGCCGCTGCCCGCAGAGCTCAGGGCAGGGACCCCACATCAGGAGACTGAGCCCCCCCCCCCGGGATGGGGTCTTTGCTGCCTCCTGGCACCATGGGCCCATGGACTGGTTCCCTTGCCCTGAACTGTTGCATGAAGAGGTCTTTAGAGGAGGAACTTCTCTGTTATAGATATATGTGTATATATGTATATATATATGTGTGTATATTTGTATACATATGTATATGTGTGTATATGTATACCGCCCCTGGAAGCGGGGCCGTGCCTTGGTCCTTGCGGCCGGGGCATCCCCCACAGCGAGGGGACCAAGCCCTCACCCCCTGCATCCCTTCCCGTGCCGCTGCCTCCATCCCTGCCCGCCCCGCGGTGATGCTCAGCGGGAGCTGCAATGGAAGCGGGGGGGATCCAGCCCCTGCCGCAGCTCCGGGGCTCACCCACGGCTTCTGCCCCTGCCCAGCTCCTGCTGCGCTTCAGCGGCTCCCGAAGCCCCGCCGTGAGGGAGAGGGCCCTGGGCAGGATCGCGGCCCTGACCCAGCTGCTGCGGCACCACCGCACACTGAGGGTAAGGACCCGGCAGGACCGAGGCGGGCGGCAGCGACCCCTGCACGGGGAGACGGGGACCTGCAGAGCATCCTGAGTCTGCCTGCTCCTGCCCCTTCTCCTGCCTCTGCCTCTGTCCCTGCTCCTGCTCCTGCCCCTTCTCCTGCCTCTGCCCCTGTCCCTGCTCCTGTCCCTGCTCCTGCCCCTTCTCCTGCCTCTGCCTCTGTCCCTGCTCCTGTCCCTGCTCCTGCCCCTTCTCCTGCCTCTGCCTCTATCCCTGCTCCTGTCCCTGCTCCTGCCTCTGCCCCTATCCCTGCTCCTGCCCCTGCTCCTGCCCCTTCTCCTGCCTCTGCCCCTGTCCCTGCTCCTGCCCCTTCTCCTGCCCCTGTCCCTGCTCCTGCTCCTGCCCCTTCTCCTGCCTCTGCCCCTGTCCCTGCTCCTGCCTCTTCTCCTGCCTCTGCCTCTGTCCCTGCTCCTGCCCCTTCTCCTGCCTCTGCCCCGTCCCTGCTCCTGCTCCTGCCCCTTCTCCTGCCTCTGCCCCTGTCCCTGCTCCTGCCCCTGCTCCTGCTCCTGCCCCTCCCCTTCTCCTGCCTCTGCTCCTGTCCCTGCTCTTGCCTCTGACCCTGCTCCTGCTCCTTTCTTCTTCTTCTTCTTCTTCTCCTTCTTCTCTTTCTTCTCCTTCTCCTCCTCTTTGTCCTTCTCTTTTCTTTCCTCCTCATTCTTTGGGTGCTTCACCTTTTGTTCAAGTTCTTTCTCCCTCCCCAAAACCTGTACCTGACCTGGATCAGCCTCTTCATCCCTGTCCCCCCACAGGAGCTCCCAGTCCCTCTCCTGGGCCAGCTCCTGGGCCACCTCCTCCTCTTCCACTATGCCAAGGACAGGACAAGCTCCCTGGCCCTGGATGCTCTTTGCAGCCTCCATCAGTACCTCCTGCAGCAGAAAGGTACCAGAGGCCATGATGGCCCCCCCCCCCGACCCCTCCCTGTCTCCCATTTACTCTCCTGTGTTCCACTGACTCCCCTGTGTCCCACTGACTCTCCTGTATCCCATTGACTCCCCTGTATCCCATTGACTCCCCTGTATCCCATTGACTCCCCTGTATCCCATTGACTCTCCTGTGTCCCATTGACTCTCCTGTGTCCCATTGACTCTCCTGGGTCCCATTGACTCCCCTGTATCCCATTGACTCCCCTGTATCCCATTGACTCTCCTGTGTCCCATTGACTCTCCTGTATCCCATTGACTCTCCTGTGTCACATTGACTCCCCTGTATCCCATTGACTCTCCTGGGTCCCATTGACTCTCCTGTATCCCATTGACTCTCCTGTGTCACATTGACTCCCCTGTATCCCATTGACTCTCCTGTGTCACATTGACTCCCCTGTATCCCACTGACTCCCCTGTATCCCATTGACTCTCCTGTGTCCCACTGACTCCCCTGTATCCCATTGACTTTCCTGTGTCACATTGACTCCCCTGTATCCCATTGACTCCCCTGTATCCCATTGACTCCCCTGTGTCCCATTGACTCCCCTGTGTCCCATTGACTCTCCTGTGTCCCCCTTGCTCTTCAGAAAGGCCAAAGCCAGAGCATGAAGTGGAAAAGCTCAGATGGGGTGAAAAAACCAGCCAATACCTCACCATGGTAATGGAGCTCCCCCCAGTGCTGGACCCTATGGTGGGATGCTTCCCCAAGCAGGGACAACGCTCACGCTCCCAACCTTCCTCTCATAGAGGTTTGCAGGCTCCCTTTATCCATGGGAGAGGACGGACATGGTCTGCGTGGTCATCGAGGCCATGAAGGACTCGAGCATCTTCAACAGGAGGGTGGCAGAGGACATCCTGGAGCTGGTCCTGAGCGACCTCGACTTCTGGCTGGCCGAGGTGGGTGGCCCATGGCTGCGTTCCCATCCCCTTCGGTCCTTCCTCCTCCATCCCAAACCTAGGAGGGGTCTTGGGTACAAAGATGCAGCAGAGAGGGATGGGGAATCCGGTCCCAGCACCATCCTCGCCTGTTCTTCCTCTTCCAGATGTCCAGTGTCGTGAGGAGCATCCATGAATGCCTGCGGAATAGCAGCAGGGAAGAGACACGGAGAATGATGGACAGGCTCCTCATCCTGATGGCCATCAAGCACCCGAGGGCATTGGTGGTCAACATGGTCCTCAACGTGCCCTTGACAGACAGGTACCAGCCTTGAGGGCTTGGTCCCTACGGCCACCAGACCCAAGGACCAAGGGCAATGGATGATCTTAAGGCCTTTCCTATGATGTTGAAGAGCGCGTCCCTTCATCCCATCCCATGGCATTGGGTCTGGAACTGGAAGATCTTAAGGCCCTTTCCATGATGCTATGACATCCCTAAGGAGCAGGTCCCTCCATGCCACCCCATGGCATTGGAGTTTTAATTGGATGATCTTACGGCCCTTTCCATAGTGCTATGATATCTCTGAGGAGCGGGTCCCTGCATCCCACTCCATGGGGAGCACCACCACTAACCCCCATAGAGCATCCCATGGGATGTGTGGACCACGCTGACTCAGCGCCCTGCCTTCCAGCGCTGATGTGGACATGTGGGAGACGGTCCTGACCATATCCGAGACTTCGGAGGCCCTACGGGAGCTGCTGGGGGTGCTTCAGGACACCCGGGACACCTCCATCCCCAACTTCGTTGTGAGTACCCAAAGGGCCCTGATGGCCTCCCATGAGCCCTGCAGGCTCGGTGGGGTCTCAATGCCTGTGTTTGCCTTTAGCCCATGGCCTCCGGTGCTGGTGGTGCTGAGGGTGCTGAGGACCCCCAGAGCCTGATGACAGCGTCCGTGCTGCTGGAAAGCCTCTTGAAGCTGTCGGAGAAACCTGTCTTGGTGAGCGGGGCATGGCCATGGGGCAGAACATGGGCATGGGGCAGGGCACGATCATGGAGAACCCGCTTGGCCATGGAGCAGGGCACAGACACGGGTCAGGGCATGGCCATAGGGACCCCTCTTGGCCATGACCTTGGTGACCACAGCCTTGGGTCAAGGCCTCCCTACAAGGAGCCCCCACCTCTTCCTGCAGGCAAGGAAACTGCAGCGGCTCCTGCCCCACATCATGCACGGGCTCTGGGATGCTGAGGATGAGCTCAGGATAAAAGCCCTGATGATCGTATGGAACGTGATGAGTCACCTCCCGAGGAAGGCGGCCAGCCCCATTGCCGTGGGGCTGGTGCAGGACATCCAGCCCCTCTTTGATGAAGTAAGGGCTGCGTGGGACCCCTGCGGCGATTTGGAGCTCACATGGGGATGGCTCCAGGGCTTCACATCCCATCTGGATCTGCCTAAGTGCCCCCTTTTCCTCCTTGCCTCCAGGGATGCAGCCTGCTCCGGGAGCTCTCCATCCACGTGCTCTGGCTCCTGCTGGAGTCAGTGTTTGGTCGTGACAGGAGGAGGATGAGGAGCAAAACCTGGGATCTGCTGCTCCCGCTCTTCTTCCACATGAGCGACCAAAGCCGCAGCGTGGCTGAGGTACGGACCTGCCCCATCCCCCCGTATCCCACATTCCCCAGGGTGGGATCATCCCCAAGGTGCCGTCTCCCATCCCATCCTGTGCAGGCTTCCCGGGGAGCTCTCCTTGCTGCGGCGACGCTCCTGGAATGGGAAGAACTCCGGCGCCTATTGAAGACGAGGCAGATGTGGAGGGTTGCAGAGTGCTTGGTATGGACCCTGCATCCATTCCTGCTCCCATTGGAACCCCTTGGACCGCTCTGCCCATCCCACATCCAGATGGGAAAGGGAGCGTTGGGACTGCTCCAGCCAATGGGGGCGTTCTGTAGCATCCCATTCCTTCTGCAGCTGGAGCGGAGCAGGAAGAGGGCTCAGGGATACCTGCACCAGAGCCTGCGGTACCTGCAAGATGCTCAGGTCCCCCTGCAAGAGGCAGCCGTCAGGTTCATTGGTGAGCCCCTGCGGTCCCCATCCTGGTCCCCACCTCTGCACCCCTGATGGATCCCGATGGATCCCTGATGGATGCTGATGGATCTCAATCTATCCCTGTGCCTAGGATTGGCCGCACGGCCCCTCAGAGGGAAAAGCCCATGGAAGCTGCAGCAGATCTGCAGAGGTGAGGAGGGAGCTGTGGTTGGGGGGATGCTGTTGGCTACGGA